ACACCGACATGAAGTGAATAGGTGGCGAGTGCCATTACAGTGGATTGCGGAGATAGAGTTGCTGGATGAGTTGTGTAATCAATATTCCCTCTCCAAAAGGTTTACGCATAATTTTAATGTTTGTCGGGAAGGAGTAAACAGTTGTAGCTGCTACTGATGCTCAGAGGAGGATTGATAACCTTCTGAGAGAAACTGAACTTGCGTGAATGGAACCAACGATAGACCATATGGTTCTGATAGTCATCGTTGTAGCATGAGCAGTAACTGACCTAGAGGCACGTGTAATCCTGTTATCGAGCTGGTGGTAAGCAAGTCCTGTGTTTTTATGTATGGAGTCACTACTACCGACAATATCTTATGCATTGAATGTGACTGATGCGAAGGTGGGGAATAGCGGAAGCGAATACACAAGCGAAACGGTGCTGTCACTCGAATTTTCAGTTGAGCTATGTAACGACGACTGGAGCACTCGAGTGCAGTGGGCTGAGCAAACGATGACTCATGAAGTAAAAAGTATGAGGTAAAAAAACAAGAAAAGTAAGATGCGGAATTACAAACACATAAGAAGAGTGGCCAAAAGGGTAAAAGCTAGAAATATCGAATGAAAGTGTCCGCCGAAAGAAGGCGAGATTGTGCACAGGTGAGCAGCTGCATCAATTCGGATATGATCCTATCTTATGGAACACCAATCCATTAAGAAAGAATTCAGTGGCTTTAAAATAAGGCGTACAACTTAAGAAAGGCATCCGGGTGGAGCGCCCATTCTACTATACCTATCAAGCGGAGAGCTCAATATATATATATATATATATATATATATATATATATATATATATATATATATAGATAGATAGATAGATAGATAGATATGGACTTACAACACGACCATTCACCCGCTGTCTTGCTGCTACCATGCTATTCACTCATGTTACTATACCAACTGCACAAGCACACGCCACCATTTTACCTACCCTTCCCGTGTACCATTCACACCCATTTTTACCTGATTCCTCTAAAACGATCAATCCCACCTACACTGATGAACCTGTTCCCGTGACATCTGCCAACTCAACCACACAGTACTCAACAGGGAGATGCCGGTCCCAAAGTCGCCCATCTTCGCTCCTGCAACCTGGAACGCAGTTCAAACTTGCAGCTTTTAACGTACGCACATTACTGCAGATCGGTCAGCAAGCTGGAGTTGCACGCAGGCTAGAGACCCTTGGAATTGATATCTGCTGCCTGACTGAAACACGACTCCAGGACTCTAACTCGGTCTACCAGCTGGTGTCACCGCTCCACCCACGCACCCGGTTCCATCTCCGCCTCTCTGGTGACGCCGAATCTGCCGCATCTGGGCAAGCTGGTGTTGGATTCGCCCTCAGTGCTAGAGCCGAGACTGCTTTGATTGATTGGATTCCGATCAATAGCCGCCTTTGTGCGATGAGGCTCCATGGCTCTTGTAAAGTCAGCAGACGTCGAGTTGAAAAGCGTGCTCTCGTCGCGGCCTCTGCCTACGCGCCCACTGACTGTAGCTCAGACATCGTCAAAGACCGGTTCTACCAGAACCTTCATGAGCTGCTCCTAAGGGCTCCTAAAACAGACATCATTGTTTTGGCAGGTGACTTCAACGCGCGTGTCGGTCGTCTGCTGCCATGTGAGCGCCACCTCGGAGGACCGCATGGATATGATGATGTTCGCTCAGACAATGGAGAGAGACTGCTCAGTCTTTGTGCCGATCATCAACTATTCCTCTCCAGCACCAGCTTTCGTCATCCTGGACGCCAGTACGCCACTTGGCGCCCCCCATCATCAACCCAGCGCTGGTCACAGATTGACCACATAGCTATAAGTCGCAGGTGGCGCGGCACCGTACACGACTGCCCATCAGTTTGGTCAACATGCGTCGATACCGATCATGCACTGGTGTGTGCGACCGTTTGCATGCGTTTTGGTGGTTCGCCTAGGTCAAAACACACCCCACTGAACACCTACAAGTTGGAGGACCCAATGGTGAAGAGAGATTATCAACAAAAGCTTCGCGAAAAGTTCCCTCTCTCTCACACTCTGGGTGTTGATCAACACTGGTCAAGTCTGCAACAAGCCTTGTTGTCGGCCGGTTTGTCCAACTGTGGCCGCACTCGCTCCACTCCCAAATGCTGGATCTCGGGAAGATCATCAGAATTGCTGGATCGTCGACGGGCGGTGCCTGTTGGCGCAGAGTACAACCAACACCGCCGGTCTATTACGCAACAGCTGAAAGCAAGCCTTCGCTCTGATCGTGAATCTTGGTGGTCAAAACAAGCTGGCGAGATGGAAGCCGCTGCATCAGCTGGCAACTTCCGCCGTCTGTTTTACATCATCAGGGCCACTGGTTGCAATTTCCACGCTATCAGGCAGACGATTTGCGAGGCAGACGGCACGAAGATCACCAACCTTCACAGGCGATTGGGTCGCTGGTCAGAGCATTTCGCTCTTCAATTCAACCACCCAACACAGCCCCCCTGCGGCACCTCCAGCCCAATGTATGATGCTTGGCCTGTCTCCACACACACACCCCCCCAAACGAAGCAGAGATTCGAAATGTAGTCCAATCTTTGAAACGCCACAAGGCTTCGGGTCCCGACAACCTACCACCAGCTCTATTCAAAGATGGTGGGAGTGTACTTATCAGCGAAATCCTATCGCTGTTCACGAAAGTTTGGACTGAGGAGAAGGTTCCAAGCTCATGGGGAGAATCGGTCATTGTCCCGATTCACAAGAAGGGTTCCCGCGCCGATTGCTGCAACTACCGCGGAATCTTCCTAATTTCTGTCACATCCAAAATCTTGGTGTCGGTCCTACTTGGCAGGCTTTCAAAGACTAGAGAGGAGTTCTCTCGAGAAGAACAAGCCGGATTTCGTCCAGGCCGCGGCTGCATCGACCAAATCTTCATGCTCCGCCAACTTATCGAACTCCGTCACATGCACCGGTGGCCAACAACCGACATCCGAGCGGCATTTGATTCGGTAGATAGATCTGCGTTGTGGAACTGTTTACTGAAGAAAGGTGTGCCCGACAAGTTTGTTACCATCCTGAAAGTACTTTACAGTCACACGTTGGGCAAAGTTAGGGCTTACGGCACGCACTCCTCTTCCTTCGCTGTGACCAGCGGGGTTCGCCAAGGTTGCCCTATTTCACCTTTCCTCTTCAATTTGGCCATCGAAGATGCTCTCCAAAGAGCACTGGAAGGTGTCCAGGACTGCGGTGTTGAGCTTCTCCCAGGAGACAGACTCACGGACTTGGACTACGCCGATGATATCGCCTTGCTGGGGGACGACCCAAAATCCGTCCAGAGCGCTCTGGACCGCTTGGCGATGGAGGCGTCTAAATACGGCCTATGCTTCACTCCGGGAAAATGTAAAACGCTGCTCCAGGATTGGCAGGTGCCTGAATCCGCGCTCACCATTGCTGGACATGTTCTGGAGCAAGTCCCTTGCTTTACTTACCTAGGGAGTTGCATCACGGCTGGTGGCGGTGTTGGAGATGAAGTCTCACAACGGATTGCAAAGGCCCGACTTGCATTCATCAAACTGAGACATCTATTGCGTCGTCGTGATGTCAGTCTCAAGCTCAAGGGCAGGGTGTACAATGCTTCCGTCCATGCAGTACTCTTGTACGGCTGTGAGACTTGGCCTATTCGCTCGGAAGATTTGAAGCGGCTATCAGTCTTTGATAATCGCTGTCTACGAAGGCTTGCTAGGGTGTGGTGGCAACACCACGTAAGCAACGCAGAGGTGAGAGGCCGCGTGATTGGGGCGAATAGTGCCAGTCTTCAAGACGTTATTCTCCGACATCGCATGCGCTGGCTCGGGCATGTTCTGCGCATGCCAGCCCATCGCCTTCCACGTCGAGCGCTATTTGCACTCCCAGGGAGCGATTAGAAAAAGTGCCGTGGTGGACAGCCGATGACGTGGAGAAGGAGTATGAAGAAAGCGACCTCAAGTTTGGCAGCAGTCGGACCAGTCCGCCTTCCAGGTTGGGGACCACGAGATGCTGAATTGCAGTAGTTGGAAACATTGGACGTCATGGCTCGCAACAGACATCAGTGGCGGCAATGTGGTTCCGCAATTTCACCATCCCTTTGATGTACACAAAAACTCACAAAACAAAACAAAATGGCGTGTGTAGAACCAAAAACATCGTTTCCCATATTTTTTAATCGCATTAGTGTTCCCATCTTCTTCACCTTGCTCTTCTGCCGTGGTTCTGATGGCACAATGTCTGTTAACAGACTGTGAATATATATATATATATATAATCAGTCAACTAATAGACAAAGCGCCATCAGATCAGGAAATAACGAGAACGCTCAATCTTTATGTGCGATTGGGGATGTCATGGTAAAAGTATGAAGTGCTGTCAAAAAAGAAGGGAATTAAGTGGTTTAAGTGGGAAGAAAACTTGGCAAGACCTCTACGACAAGTAGATCGACTGAATTGAGAAAAGTTTGTAACCGAGAACACAGTGTGCGAAGTATGTACCGTTGCGGTCAGTGCCGAAAGATAGTCAGAAGTGCAGCGAAGTTGCACGACCAGCAGGTTCCGGATACGTTGGCTGGACTCAAAAGCGGTGTTAGAGCGAGCAAAGGTTGATAGAGGTGATGTAGGTGACTCACAAGTGTGCGGATTTCAAACTGGGAGGTACCCCTTAGATGAGTAAGCCAATAATTCCGGTCTCATTGCAGTTAGATGGATGAGATGCGCACCTGTGTCTATCAGAGGGAACTAGTAGTGAAAGACGTATTGGAGAATGTACACATGGTGCCTAGTGCAGGATTTCACTACAGACACGAAGGAACTGTGCCTAAGGATGGATTTTGTGATGAATCGGAATGTGGAAGGCTTGGGATGGGCCAATTCACAAAATGGAAATGCAAAAATGGTACAGAAGATGATAGGTAGGCCACACAGCCAATCACAGAGGGTGCAAACGAATATGACGTTTGAAGGTAAACGCACTTGTCCAGGTGTGGTGACAAACGCTACGGTTCCCGTTAGGTCAAGCGCCAAATCTGTGAGAGGTTGGTTAGTTGATGTCAGTTGCAGTTCATCCAACTGACGTGTTTCGTTGAGTTCGATAATTTCATGCTGAAAAAACATATACGACAGTTCAGAAAGTTGTGATGCAATTTCAAACGAGTAATTTGTTACTAAGGTTAAAATCAACCAATAGACAGGGTAGTAGGCTGGGCCGGTAGATTGATCGCAGGAACCAGAGGCCCAAAACAAGAATGGAAAAAGAAAAATATTAGTACAATTAAAAGGAACAAGCAGAATAGGTTTGGAAATCATTGAGAATGCCTGTAGTGCGGGGTGTGGATGAGAGGACTGTCCTGTTCACCGAGCCGGGCATCTCTGTTGCAGATATTTCGTTACCAAACTAGGCAACATCTTCGGTGCGACTATTCAATCCTGATTCGCGGAGTCTCGCAAACCAATGCCAGATCCGAATGACTATTGATTGTTGCCTGCTTCGAACGTCAGCCTTCGCTCGGTTCACATGAGTCGGTCGAGTGGGCACGCCTTCTCCTTGTCGATCTGGTGCCTAATGCTGGCTTAACCTGCAGAGCTTCATAGACACCCTCCAGCTCTTGTGCCAAGTTTTCTTCCAGACAAGACTATTGTTATATCACCGACCGACAAAGGACGTCGTACTGCAATAATGGACAAAACTGACCACGTGAAGAAAGCACAAGAACTGCTCGGAGATGTGAACACCTACCAGCCGATGAGTGAAGACCTTACAAAACGTCTGGAAAGCAAGATCAACAAAACTCTTCAAAGACTGGAACAAATGGAACAGATCACGAAGTTAGAACACAGCAAGATGAAACCCGAGGATTCAGTGCTACCACGGTTCTATGGCCTACCTAAATACATAAAAATGGGGTACCGCTTCGGCCTATAGTGTCATTACCCGGGGCACCGAATTACAAACTGTCTAAGGAACATTGGAAACGGTCGAAACACCTAATCGCAGGCTCAGAGCACTCAATCCAGTCGGCAGAACAATCCCCTGAAACACTTAAGGGAATAACAATAGAAAGAGACAAGATAATGGTCTTTTTTGACATTACAAGTTTGTTCACTTCAATTGACACGACGCTGGCGAGGCAAACAATGAGGACTCTGCTTGAACAACACGGAGCGGTAAATACCAGCAACCGAATTGAAGCCACACAAATGATGGAGTTGCTTGACCTCTGTCTCACCACACATTTCACTTTCAATGGTCAAATGTACAGACAGATAACGGGCACGCCAATGGGATCGCCAATTACTGGACTGGTAGCAGAGGCAGTAATGCAAAGCTTGGAACAGAAGGCATTGCCAATAGTGGAGCCCAAACTTTGGGTACGTTACGTAGACGATACTTTTGTCATCTTCAAACGCTCCAGACTACAAGAAACACATCAACTAATCAACAATATTTTTTGCGGCATCCATTTCACCAAAGAGGAAGAGAACAATGATCAGTTGCCATTCTTGGACGTGCTCGTGAGAAGACATGCTTCTGGGTCATTGGAAACAACAGTTTATCGGAAAGCGACCCACACCGATCAGATCTTAAACTATCGTAGTAACCATCCGACCATATACAAGCGAAGTTGCGGGAGGACGCTTTTCAAACGAGCCCAGACACATTGTAGCACGCCGCAACTGAGGAAGGCGGAGGAGGATCACCTGGTTAGCAAGTTTCAGCGAACTTCGTACCCTAGAAGCTTTATTCTACGCTGTCTGATGTCGAAAAGCCAGTCACAACCCGCGTCCAAATGTGCAACAGGAAGAAGAACGATTATCCTACCTTACATCTATGGGATTTCTGAAATGGCAGCAAGGCTTCCAATACCTCACGGGACAAATGTTGCACACGAAGCAACGAAAACCATACGAAGTAAACATTTTAAGGCGAAGGACAAACTCTCGAAAAAAGAAACATCGGGTGTAGTTTACAAAATTTCCTGTAAGAACTGTGACAAGTACTATGTAGGCCAGACTGGAAGAAAACTTGGCACAAGACTGCACGAACATAGTCTGGCCATCCGCCGCCACGATGAGAAATCCTTAATGTCAGTACACATGGATGCCGAGAAGCATCAGTTCGATCTGGAGAACGTTGAAACACTTATAAGAGCAAGAAACCGCAGGGCGCGTGAGTTCCTCGAGGCCTGGCATTCTGGCCGGTACTCAATCAACAAACACCTTGAGCTGGAGGGTGTCTATGAAGCTCTGCAGGTTAAGCCAGCATTAGGCACCAGATCGACAAGGAGAAGGCGTGCCCACTCGACCGACTCATGTGAACCGATCGAAGGCTGACATTCGAAGCAGGCAACAATCAATAGTCATTCGGATCTGGCATTGGTTTGCGAGACTCCGCGAATCAGGACTGAATAGCCGCACCGAAGATGTTGCCTAGTTTGGTAACGAAACATCTGCAACAGAGATGCCCGGCTCGGTGAACAGGACGATCCTCTCAGAATAGGTTTCTCTGAGAAGCTCACCAATCATTTGGAACTCGATTAGTGTTACAAGAGCAAACAGTAAGCGACTAATGGAGGATGATGGTTGTTTCAAATAGCAGGTGGTACTCACCTTAAGTAATCGACCATCGTCGGTTGTCATAATTACGACCGTAAACAGATCAGAAACGGAAGTAACCGCCAAGCCAGTGATATTGTAGGGCAAATGCAGGAATGCGGGTGATTCTACAGCATCCTCGTATGTGTGACCCGTAATTAATCGGTTTGTTGTCCGACGTAAAGGACAGTAAAAATGGCCGTCCGTCTGCAAGAAAAGGCGATTGAATTGGCTATGAATACTAGCAAATGGTCATGGAAGCAAGCATAAACTCTTCTGAGAGAGTTAGACTTACAGAACTGTGATCTGGAATGCAATGATTGTTTTTACGCTCACGGCTGGTGAGAAAATGCGCAGGTCCAGTAACCCCCTGCCCATTGCGGCAGTTGGTGATTACTCGGTGAAAGTGAAAATCAATCTGGAAAGGAACGACAAGACATGGTGAAAAAGGCGAAAAAATTTCTAAGTCATTTATCGCGGAGAAAGAAAACGAATAAAGGCATCAGTGGTATGTCGATGCGTCGCACAGACACTTCGTGGTTTCGCGACCACCACCGTTGGAGCGTGGGCTAGGGATACTGCGGGACGGAGCCCACTTAAACAGATACGAGCCGGTGACCCTTGGGTTACAAGACGAACGCCTTATCTTTGTGGCCGCCAGTGGACTCTGTCGTGGAAAGATTGAAACTTAACGTAGTCCAGTGTTATGCACCTTAGCTTCAGTGATCGTTACTCGTAGTGCTTTAGGTTAATGTCAAAGCTACACTCATTAAAGTGACCAATGCTTAGGGATCACATAAACACTAGACATAGGTCCTCCAGTTTAGTAGACGAAACTTAGGCGGTACTCATTCCATCCTCGTTGTATTGTAGTCAAAGTTTACGGTCAATGTGTTTCGTCGAGTATCTCACTAGTTATCCCGTTTCGATTTAAGCACCCTGGCAGCGACACAGGCCGCAAGTAGCAATGATTGCCTTCTCAAAAGTCCACACTATCCATTCTCGGCCTTCATGCACCAACAAAAAGATCACTTGTCAGCTGTGTATGAAGGCGAAAGCAGGCCAATGGCGATGAATCCGACCCTTCTTGTCCAAACTAGCTAGTGAATATTTCCCAAGACCTATTAACGTCCTCCAACAGTTTACATAGCAAACCATAACTGAAATAACGCTGTCGAAGCCTTACTCCATGCGTCAAACCATCACAATGCATGACGGGTTCTTGTTATCAAAAAGCGCTTATCAAATCACGCGACTCTGTTTCTTTAACGATGTTCAAAGTAGGTGCTTCAAAGTAAATAGAACAAGAGGATGGGCTTGCTCGCGCACGAGATGCTTTTGTAGCTGACAAGTGTCGTCGTTGAAACGTAGTTATCGAACTAACTGTGCCCATCTATTCTGCTCCCCATCAGTTGCACGCGCAACGGAGATGCTAATGGGGTAAACAAAGATGAAGGAGTAGTCGCTGCCCTCAGCTTTACGTATGGGATTTCGTTTGTCCACTGGATCCCATGAACAGCTATCAGTGTACATCCTATTTGATGGTGTCGGTTGTGGTAAACGTATGGGACAGGGTTAGACAGTGCCTGTTTGTGATACTCGTTCACGACGCAACCAGCTGCGTGTCCAATGTAGACAAATATGCTTCATACGATGAACTTGGTGCTTTTATATTTGGTGCACTCGGTCTAATAACCAGAGATATACGCGAGAGTAGATAGACACCTACGCTCGTCTAAAGCTTGGTTAGGTGGCACGTTTGGACATAATTTCGGCCGCACGGACGATGATCGGTGTTCATTACAACTGTGTGTCAATCAACCGATTATTCCAGGTATACCGCCTCAAAGCACAATCGGAGTCCAGGTGCTACTCGGTGTCATTTGGTAGCTGGCGTGCGACAGATCCAAATGTGTGTTACCGCTAGAAATTTCAGGTGGCACGAATACACATTTGACCGCCGCTCCTGTTGAAAAACGTGATTCGACTCCGACTGCACGTTAGTAGGCCGTTAATTGTTCTCGAAACTAATGGGAGGTGCAACAAACGGTATCTTTGGTTGACAGCTAAAGATCAAGTTCAGTGCGAGCATGTCAGAATTCACTGGGGACAATGTTTTCCCAATTCCATCCGGAGTAAAAATATTAGTACCATGCATAGCGCAGAAGCATCAGACTGTGCACTGTCGGCCGTCACGGTGCTAGATAGTGGATAGCTGAAACTTCGGTAAAGTTGCTGGAATCTAGAGGCAGAATACTTGAGTCCATCGAGCAGAATGTGACGGGACGGAACATTAAGCACGAATTAAAACAGATCTTGAAAAAGGGTGATAGAATTTGGGAGATCGGTAATTAGAACAGGCAGCGGAGGGGATTGATTCAAGGAACTAAAGTGAAGTAATGAAAGTGGTGTTGTTCGAGAATGGTGGTTGCAACCTGGGCGCTAACTACAGGAGCATCAGTGCAACGCAGATGAATTTTAAATTTAGGCCACGCACTGCGAAGGGTTAAACTCCCTCGCACATTTTAGACATCGCTAACAACAGAAGAGGATTTTCATTTACCTTGCAAGCTGAGCACACAAGACCAGACTGAATGCCGTCCAGCTATACGTCGGTGAAAACTAGCCAGAGCTTTGACCATGTTGTCTACGCAGCAGCGTTCAGGTCATGCGACAAAATCGTGCCTGCAGCAGTATGATATACGGCCTGTAGTCTTACGTATCAGAAACCTGCTTTGTGATCCGAGGGCACGGGTTCGGGCCTGTGTAGGGACCGGGCAACCTTCGCAGTATCTCAAGCGCGATTGGTGTTGGTTGTGCGGCAGCGAAGCTTCGGTAGTGCGTAGCGCCGTACTGCTGATGCCTTTCTTACTTTCTTACGGGTGGAAAATGGGAGGTGAAGAATAGTCTAGTTCATTGGGCTGTCAAACAAAGCTTATTATATTTAGTTGACTCGGGAGCGTGCTACAAATGTTCAAGTGTACACAATCGAAGAGTCTGGGATGGCAAACATTCCATAGGAGCCATATATCGTGACAGAGACAATGAATGGAGTTGTTGAGCCCTGAACTGGATGCTGACGATTTGCACCGCATGCTGAGTATGGCTCCATGCGCTTCGCCCAATGTTTGGCTCAGTACGTTACAAAAGGACGTCACGTAACCAACATGAGGGGCGCAATTGCTATCGTCTCCCATCCAGACCGGTATTTTAAGTTGTTTGTAGTGTTAAGTAATATGTGGGTTACTGTACAACCTATGAAGTGGACAATGTAAGCATATTTGTCGAGATGTCTGTGCCTGAATGTTGTCCACATGGTTCGGAAGTGTTGAGCTTGGAATTCGGACTGAAGTTACAGAAGTTACACTTGGCACACCTTTAGATTGCTTCATGTTCACCACGGTTATGATTGAATGACCACCAGGAACCAATACAAAAGCACTAATGCACAAATGCTGACTATGTGGGAGAAGGTGAGGTGAGACACGGTAGAGAAGATAATGACACTTGAAAACTGTTAACAAGCGTTTCATTATTTCCCAGAGAACAAGAGAAGGGAGTATGATTATATTGGTCAATCTTAAACAGACACTACGGCGTGGTGGTCCGCGAGATGAGAAAGCCGATCTCGTAAACCAGTAATCCGACACGACAGGCATCAAGTCAGGTGTTGATCGATGACGTATATACACTGACCGTTGACAGGAGATATAACTGCACAAAAAATGATGTTTGTGTCGGTGAAGCGAATGGCCTTGGGGACTAATAAACATGATCATGATATAACCAAGCTGTGAAGTACGGAGATGTGGCGGCTTGTGTGCTGAGTCGACGGGCATGACCCGGTATGGAATGAAACCCAGAGGTGGTCACAAATGCGGGAGCAGTTTGAAAGTAACAACCGCCGTTTGTGCGTCGCGAAGGAGCTACAAAGTGAAACAGCAAGGACAATTGGGTCCGATGATAATGCGTTTCTTTGGATCCCGTTCGCATTATCTCAACTGCACGGTTAAAGCTATAAGCTATGCGCTACTGACACCCAGCATTCTGTTCTGAGCGAAGTACAATTGATAGAAGCTTTATTGAACTTATCCCATTCTTATTCTGATGCCAAGTGCCTACTGAATAAGTGATAAAATGCAAACAAATGCAATGGCAGGAAATTTTAAGCCTGCTGGAAATCAAAACAGCCGAAATGAAGTTGCGTCCGCTTAGATGTCTGTACTCATAGTGACAAAGGTGTGCGTGAGGAGGATGTGAAGTTGGAGTGAACTATAAAGACTCTGGAACCGATACCTAACTTCGCTAAATGAGGGGATAGGATCCCAAAGTAAAAGCAATCGAGTGATAGCTCGTGTGAGATTAAACCAGTGTGAATGTTTCTGGGTAGGTAGGAGCAGAGAGTGCAAGACTAGTCATGTGCTCTGCTCGCTCCAAGTACTAGAAGGATCAAGGTGAAGCGGAATCGATTAGCACAACTGCCGAATAACCATTTGATCGGTTTACGGCATCTAGGCGACTGTATTAACTCTACCGGTTAGATGGCTGTAGAGAGAGATGTAGAGAGATGGCTGTACGGTTACCAAAGGTGAGGTTCGCGCGGTACTTATCTAAGCAGTAGGATATAAGCGTGTCAGTAGAGTAAAGACATGCAAAGCTAGGTTGTGACTGGCGTAGGTCGGCGAAAGTAGGGGACTGGCTGTTTGGTCATCGGCATCTATGCAAAATTACCAACACTTGGTGAGACCATAGAGGGAGTAATGCTGATATTCAGCAACCAGTTGTTGACGACAAACATTTTGATGCGGACCCAGTCCGTTTTTCACATTTGATCCGTCCACATTCCCCTAGCTAAGCCCAATGCATGCACGTCGGTTGCATAGCCTAGTAGGTGCTATTTTCGGACAATGCCCCTGGTTGGCTCTCCGAAATAGCATGAAAAATGTGATTACGAGACTCCAAGCAGTTTACCGGTGTTGAGTAAACTGGTTCGATAGAATCATCTGTGTATTCTCCAGTGATACAGCTTAAAGAAGCATTGACCCGGCTACATCAGATGCATAAAGGTAATGTAGGAGTTGTTGTTGTTGGGCTTCGCACTTGGCCATTCACCAGAGGACGTGTTGCTGTTATTGATCGGTTGTTACTATTTTGCGGCTTATTGGTGATGGATCATTAGTAAGTTCTCAACCCAGTTCTAAGGATGAGTACCACGATGCATGCTGGAGATCTAAAAGGCAGTGTGCTAAGTAATAGTTCTTTAGAATCATAATTGCCAATCAACCGAGAGAAACTGTAGTCAAGTCCAGAAAAATAGTCAGGGAGACCCAAGAAGGCCTGCTAGGGTAGAGCAATCGAGATTCTATTTAACGGGCTACAGAGTAGCTCAGTAATAGCATAAACGGAAGCGGATAAGTC